ATGGAGGATTCCCTGTTGAAAGATCTAATGTCACTTCAAGCCATGCATTACAAGTGTCCTTCATGCTCATCTATGGCCCTTATATATCAATGGAAGATTTTTAATGAGACAGCTGGCTCAGGTCTCCTTTGCTTAAGGCTGTTTTGTGGCTGATGAAACCTCCTTTCTTGCTGTGTTGTGTAAAGGAAGCAGGAGTCCTACAATGCACTCTTGATGCTATGCTGTTGTTGGTTCCTGTCACTTCTGCCTCTTGGCCAGCACTCAGTGACCACTGCCAGACGCGGAAAAAAACCAAAAAACAACCACTTTACCGGAAGAGGAATTGCAACAGTTTGACCCAGCTTGCCCAACATTTGTGTAGATCACGTGCTTCAGCGGAGCTTCTTGGCATTTGTATCCAATAGCTGATTGATTCCAGCTATTGGATAAAAGTGCCAAAAAGCCCTGCTGAAGCATGTGATCTACACACATGGTGGGCTGGTCAGGTCAATCTGATGCAACACCTCTTTTGGAGTATGCATTTTGCTTGTTGGGGGGGGGGCAGTGCTGAGCTGTAAGTAAAGCACTAGGGTTTTTTTGGGGGGGGCGGGTCCTGTATCTGTAAGTAGCCAATATGTACTTAGTGAAGCTCTTCACTGGCCAGTAAAAGAAACTTGATTCCTCGTGGTCTTTGTTGTATTAGTTTTTGCCTGAGGATTTAGTCTTTGCACTAAATGTAACACAACTTCCTCAGTTCTCCATACAAAAAATTAACGAGAGAGAGTTTTTATGATGATTTAGATTACTGTTATTGCAGCAGATAATCACTCACTCAGAGAAATTGAACCATGCCTCATGGCAAACTGGCTAGAGGGTCATACCCAGAGAGTAGTAGTGGACGGGTCGGTATTGACCTGGAAGGACGTGGGCAGTGGGGTCCCGCAGGGCTCAGTTCTTGGACCAATACTCTTCAATGTCTTCATCAGCGACTTGGACGCAGGAGTGAAGTATATTCTGTCCAAGTTTGCGGATGATACAAAACTGCGGGGAGAATTGGACACACCGGAGGGCAGGGAACAACTACAGGCAGACCTAGACAGGTTGGACAAATGGGCAGAAAACAATAGCTTGTGATTTAACAAGGAGAAATGCAAAGTGCTGCACCTAGGGAGGAAAAATGTCCAGCACACCTACTGCCTAGGAAGTGACCTGCTTGGTAGCATGGAAACAGAAAGGGATCTTGGCATCCTAGTGGACTCCAAGATGAACATGAGTCGTCAGTGTGACGAAGTCATCAGAAAAGCTAATGGGACTTTATTGTGCATCAGCAGGTGCATGACAAACAGAGCCAAGGAGGTGATACTTCCCCTCTATCGGGTGCTGGTCAGACGGTAGTTGGAATACTGGGTGCAATTTTGGGCGCCGCACTTCAAGAGGGATGTGGATAACCTGGAGAGGGTCGAGAGAAGGGCCACTCGTATGGTTAAGCGCTTGCAGGCCAAGCCCTATGAGGAGAGACTGGGGCACCTGGACCTCTTCAGCCTCCACAAGAGAAGGTTGAGAGGCGACCTTGTGGCTGCCTATAAATTCATCATGGGGGCACAGAAGGGAATTGGTGAGGCTCTACTAACCAAGGCGCCCCTGGGGGTCACAAGAAATAATGGCCATAAGCTAGCAGAGAGCAGATTTAGATTGGACATTAGGAAGAACTTCTTTACAATTAGAGTGGCCAAGGTCTGGAACGGGCTCCCAAGGGAGGTGGTGCTCTCCCCTACCCTGGGGGTCTTCAAGAGGAGGTTAGATGGGCATCTGGCTGGGGTCATCTGAACCCAGCATTCTTTCCTGCCAATGCAGGGGGTCGGACTCGATGATCTTTTGAGGTCCCTTCCGACCCTAGCATCTATGAATCGTGGGAAATGAGTTATGTAAGTCACTCCCATAAACCGATTCCCACAGCCCCTCAAAAGACCTCTCAAACAGAAAGATAGATCAGATACATGGGAAATTTTGCTACTTCACTGCTTTCCTTTTCATTTATGTAACCATTTTATGTATACCTGAATGGATGGGAGAAATTATTCTATATAGGGTATACAAACTCTCAGAAGAGCTGTAAAGCAAATATTTTACAAGTTATTCAAATGGTTAAATATGGTGGCACAGCTTCCTACAAAAATGAGGCTCTTGGCTTTGCTTATCTACCTAAGTTTTTTTTGGTTATGCTGAAAAAAATTACCTTTGCCCCCTATATTCAACTCTTCAGAGGTTTGAAATTCAGTTGCCTTGTTCTTAAGGCATTGGAGGATAGATCTAAATGGAATGATACAGTTGAAAATTAATTTCTTTGGCTCTCATTCAATAAGCATGTTGTAAAACAGTAACCTACAAATTGTTGTCAGACATTTTGACTCTACTCTGTATGAATATACAGATATTTATTTGACTTCTGTGACCTGGGACAGCTCAGTTAAACTAGGTGTCTGATCCCCTCTCTAATCTGTGGCTAAGATTTGCCAGGCTCTCAAGGCTGTAGTGATAAATTAATGTTTAGCTATTTGAAAATGTAAAATGCTATAGTTCTTATAGCATAAGCCCAGTTTTAATAATTGTTTATCATTCTAAGGTTAAGTTAGTGTCAAACAGAAGGTCTTATTGAGAGAGTACAGCAATGGAATGCATTCTGCAGATGATTCTAATATTATAAAATTCTGAGTCTGTTGGTATGTCTGTCCATAACACTTTATTCGTGCTCTGATTGACTGATGGAAACAGCCAATCAGAGTGCTTCAAACGTGCAGGAGTGCTGCCATGATTTCAAAGCTGCTCCAAGGACCAGGGTGGGCTCCCCTACCCCACTCCCTACAAGCAACATTGAGGACTAGACAGGAGGTAGGGCTCGCCTGAGCGCTGGCCTCAGCTCCCCTATCCCGATCCCTGCAAGAGGCAGAACAGCAGCAGCATGGGGCATTAAGTGGCGGCACTGCATCCCAGCCACCTACCCCCCGCCCCCGTCATTCTTGATGGGCATTTGGCTAGTACTATCATATTTTCAAGTCTGTAGTTGAAAAATTCACATCAAAGAGCAAGCTTAAGTGCCTGTTCATTTTTTAACCTCGCAACAAACATGAGTCCAACTAAGCTCTTAGTCTCTGTCAGAACATAAGACCATAGTATGGTATTGTTTCCTTCAGCATGAATATCTGTCAACTAGAGACTGGAACACTTCCAGTTATAGGCACAGGCGTTTTTATAAGTTGGTAGAGAGGGGTATTTCACTACTGACCTGGGCTGTATTGAACTTGTTCTTCTTAAATATTAAAAGCTTATTAATTTTAGTCATAAGGGTCATCTAATTCTCCCTGTGTGTTTTTATGCTTCCAGATACTACCTCTCCACATTGTGGATGCAACAAACTACTTTGGTCGCATAGTAGATAAGAAAGAGGATCAATATGCAATTCTTGCTGTAGAAATGGACAAGCATTTTAAGAAAGCTGGTAATAAAGTATCAGTTGAAATGGCGAAGAAACTATCATTGTATGGATTACATGAAGAGAAGACTTTTCATCGGTAAAATACTGAAATTGTTTTTGAAAAGAATGATTTAAAAATAAAGACTGTTCCTGGATATTTTAAAGTATTTAGATTAAAGCAATTGTACATGCCTGGAAAAATAATGTGAGTTCAAAACAGAACGTTATCAAACCATTTTATTTACATTTTTTTTAATTTGCTACACGTGGAATATTTTGGGTAGCTCATATTTTGATCTCTTCTTATTTCATGTTCATAAAGGTTAAACAAATGATACAAGTAGAGTGCTGAATACAGTATTATTGTGGGTGCTTTGACAAATGGAAGTTACTGTCTATGTTTTGTCTCCCTAAAGGGTTCAAGTATTAGAGATCTTTCCAAAAGAAGAAAATGGCTTTTTCTATAATGTTTCTATCAAGTACATAGATGAAGGTAGAACTGGTCAGGTTCGAGGCCATCAGTTATTTTCCTTACCTGCAGAATTTCAGAGTTTGCCCCCTCAGGCAGTGGAATTCATTGTTTGTAGAGTAAAACCTATTGATAATGAAACTGAATGGAGCCCAAAGGTAAGTTTTCTTTTCTTCAGTATTTTTCCTTTTCGTAGATTAAGCTTAATAAATGTATTTTTTTCTTTCATGGAAAAAAATAAGTCCCTTTTTTTCCTTTATAAAAAATAGTTGGTTATAAGCTTTTATTAATAACAAGCAGTGAAATTTAACATTTTTTAATGGATAATCATAAAGATTTAATCTATTTGACCAGCTGTTTCTAAGAAATGAATTATTTTTGGTTGTCCTCAATATTAAAATTGATTCTGTGAAATAAACTAAGTGTAACTTCTGAATCATTTATCAGCTGGCATTTTAATTATCAAACGAACTTAGATATTCCTGTATGGTATTTTTTAATTGTTTCAGATAATTGTTTGCCCACTAGGCAAATTTAGGTTGTTTTTTTGGGGAACATACTCTAGAAAGAAACCTTCTCAGAAGTCGGTCCCTTTTTCTAAAGTCTTCCAAGGTAAGGGTAGATATAGCCTCTTCCAAAGCCAGTCATCACTGCTGCTTGAATCTGCCAAAAATAACTGCAGATAGAATCTCTGATACCCATGATGTGGTGCAGTGGCTCCCAAACTTGGATGAGGGTAGGGAGTGGTGGGGTAATGAAGCCTTGGTAAATGATCTATGAATCACACAATTCATGTGCGCCTTTATAGTGCTTTCTGTTAACATTTTTAAGGGTATCTGGTGTTCCGCAAAAAAAATTGAGGACCGACAGTGGTCCATTGTTTCTAAACGTGTACTTTATAACTTTTTTAGTGATGCACCAGATATCTAGGTCAAGCCCATTAATCTTGCAGTAATATTATTATTTAATCTACAGTTTTTCAATGTATGCCTTTGTTAGTTTTTCTGGCATTTACTCCAAAACTGTTTGCATTACTTGATAAATACCCTGATTTCATTGTTAATTATAATTCAGTAGTCTTCCAAATGTGTAATAGTTGCAGAGTCTATTTTCAGTTTGGTATGTATTTTGTATACTGTAAGTATTGTTTTTATTAGATTACTAGATATATTCATCAGAAAATTAAAGGAAAATTGCATGAAGCAAGAGTGGTGCTTACCTTGGGAAATACAGTTTGGGTTGATCCAATGGTAAGTATTAAATTGTAGCATATTTATATTTAAACTTAGTGTTTCACAAATAAATGTTTCCTTCCATCCTTTTAGTTCTCTATTTATACATGTGTGCGTGCTTGCATGTGCGTCCAAACGCAAGCATGTTTATGTATAGATAAAATCCATGGTGTGTAAATCTTGATTTGGCCTAACTATGAACCACTAGCAAAATTACAAGTGAAATCATTCAAATTATATGCCTGTACATAATCTTATTTTCTGTAATTGTCATGAAATGAATAGGAAAAATATTTAGAAATATTTGAAAAACTTTCAAAAACATTTTACCCATTTCCTTTTAAAACTAAGTATCTTAAAAGAGTTGGAGTATTGTAGCCCTGATGATCCAGGAACATACGAGAAGCAAGGATTTTTTTTATTTTACCAATTGTATAGTTGGAAAAGCTGTTAGACCAGTTTTTGGGCATTAAGTGCCCTTCTTCAGGCCTAAGGAAGGGACAGATGGAGGCTAAGCTGCATACCATGTTTTAGGGCACGGATAAATGTATCCTTGGAGTTGCTTCAAAAGGGGAGCTTCAAAACTAAGTAGGATAGCGCTACAGTGCTACTAACTAGGGGTGCACCAATGGAGATTTTAGGGGCCGATACCGATAGCTGATATTTAAGGAGGCATATCGACTGATAACGATCCAATACAGCTGCCATCAAATGTTAAGTCTGGTGAGGTGGAAGGGGGGTCGGGGGGGGGAAGTGCGGGATGGCCCAGGAGGGGGCAGTGTGGGATGGAGGTGCAGCTCATGGGGTGGGGGCAGCTCCCACTGCTGGTTGCATCCCGGGAGGGTGGGGGAGCTTGTGCCCCCGGATCTGTGCAGGGCGGGCTTCAGCTGCAGGGTGGAGCTGGCACTGCCATTTTTCTTGCTGGGAGCTGGGCTCGGAATAGGCTCTGGTGGTGCTAGGAGGATGCTGCAGTCACCTCATGTTTCGCCGCAGCTCTGTTTCCAGCCCTCTGCCGCCACCCAGCACAGCCCTAGCTTTTCCTGGCGCTTGGGCAGAGGCAGGGCCTTCAGCCAGGGCTGCGCTGGGTGGTGGTGTGGGGCTGGGAGTGAAGATGCGGTGAAATTTGGGGTGGCTGCAGCCTCCTCCCAGCGCCGCTGAAGCCCGCTCCAAGCCCAGCCCCTGCCGAGAAGAGCCCCATGCAGCCAGCTCTGGCTCCACCCTGCAGCTGTAGTGCACCCCACACTGCAGATCCAGGGGCACAACCCCCTGCCCTCCTGGGGTGCAAGCAGTGGCGAGAGCTGCCACCAGCCCACAAGCTGCGCCTCTGTCCTTCACCACAGGGGGCGGTGATCTCTTTCTCTCTCTCCTTCCCTCCCCTTCCCACGTACCAACTAAAGGAAGCCCCTTCCCTCTCCACACTGCCGGCTCTGCTCCATGCTGTGCTGCACTCAGCATGGGCATTATCAGCCAAATGATCAGCCTTATCAGGCCGATTTATAAAGAAAATTGTCTATGTTGGATATCGGTACTGATCCGATGTCGAACCAATGTATTGGTGTACTTCTACTAACAGCACCAGCCTGACCATGACAGCATTAATACCTTGGTGCATAAAACCTGCTATATAACCACCATGACCACTTCCACAAATACCCTGCCTGTGATCACAGAAACAGTCTAGCTACTTACTTTTCTGAATCTGTGCTCTGTATCACTCATTTCTCATCAGTTGGTAGATCTATTCAATAGACCTCGTAGGGAGGTGATTAAAGTTATACTTATTTAATAGAGTGGAATTCACAGTAAAATCCACCTATTTTGCTATGTGAAAAATTCACAAACTGGTCCACTTTGGTAGAAATACAAATACAGGCTTTACTTTAGATCTAGTTGCCAATGACAGCATCCATATCTCTTTTAGTCAAAGAGATATTTTGAATTGTAGTCTCTTTGAAGTCAAAGTGAGTGACTTCATAGTTAATATGCAGTGTTTCCTTTTGCTTATAAAAATTCCCTCCTCTTTGGAAAAGTAATGCAATTTCGTTGGTAGTGTATGCTTCTTCATACAGAAGGAATTTTTCTTCCACTTTTTCTTTCGTGCTTTCTCCTTGTCTGCTCATCTTAACTATACAAGTCTTTGGGTACACTCTTGCAAGAATTTTCTGGTTGCTCGATTCCTTGAATTACAGGATTCCCTGCTTAATCTCTTAAATTGGAAGTGTATTCCTAAATGTTCTTGCATTTGCTTACTGTTGCAGTTAGAGTTGTGGTTTGTGCAAACTATTAAAGAGGACCTTGTGGGGGGGTATACCACTCCTTTTGGAAGTGAAGCTTTTAGGAAATGAGGCAGAAGCTCACCTCTCCTTGAGGGCCCCTTCCTGGGAAAGTTACAGTACCTTTGTGAACTGGCTCAGGCACATTAAGATCACAAACTCTTTTGGAAGAATGGAGCTTCAGTCTTTTTGTTGGTCAAGTTTGTATGTTGTTGTATCCTACTTTACATGTGGTTTATTTTGACTGCAAAATTCCCTAATTCCTAATCTGATTATTTTAAGTGTTCACCCTTTTTTGTGATGCTTGCACGTGGTTGGCATAGGAAAGTGAGAAGCTATTTCTCCAGTTGCCTGGAATACTGAGGAAATCAGGATGTTGTAGTTGTGTTATAATTTCTTGGGCTCCTCATCTGTGTTGCTATAGTTGGTCAAGCATAAAAATGAGTGCCACTCTATTTGCTATTCACTTCTTGAATGTGCTTCTCAAGGTGCTATGTTCTGCAGCCAGTTTGATTTCAGGCTGACTTCTTTGCAAGTTGAAAGAAGCTTTTTCTTAAGAAAGGTTTCTTTTCTTTCCCTTTTCTTTCCTGGTATACAGAGCACTAGTAAGATTTTTGCCCTTTGCACGTAATCTGATCTGGAAGATTGCTTTGGCCTGTGGGACGCCTTTTTTGCTTTATAACATCTTATGATATCTTTCTGTTGCTGGTCAAAGGGCAAATGATTCTTCAGTAGGACTTTCCATCTATTAATTCTAAACTTAATTTTAAGCTTTAGGGAACACATTTTTTTAAGATGGCTTTTGTTTTTTGTGTTTGTGGCTTTTGTTTTGTTTTGGTGTTTTTGCTGCAGTAACCCTGTATGGGTGAATTGCAATGTCATCTGTCTTAATCTTTTCTCTCCAGAAAAGTAGTTTATTCGAATCCCCATGATTGACTTTCAGAGGTGAATACTAAATTTCACCAAGCAAACCCATTGTTTTCTTGTCTGTGCCCTGCTTTATTGCCCTGCTGTGCCCTGCTTTATTCTTGTCTGTGTCCTGCTTTATTTATTTATTTATTTATTTATTTATTTGCTCTGAAGAATTTAGGAAGTCCAACTAGCTGTACTTCTTTTGAAGGTTACTATAAAGGCCAAGACTACAGCTAAAGTCAGTAATTGGTTAGATGGTTCTCTGCCTGCACTCTGAGTATGTGATAAGCAGGGATCCTAGTTTTCTCTGTTTTAAAAATTCAGAATTCTCAGAGCAAAATGCGTGTTTTCCTGCAATTAAAATGAAATACCACTATATATTTAAGTATCCCTTGAACACAGTGTCTTACAGTTATGTTTACAGTTTTAAAGAAATTTGGAAGCCTACCAGTGCCTCAGTCATTATAATAAAATAAATTCTAAATACCTATATATTTTGGAGGGGTTTTTTTGTTTTTTTTATCATAGAAAATCAGAACTCCACCTGCCCCTTCACTCACCAGGATGCAGGTCCAGCTGCAGCTGTCCCCCCTGCTGCTTTTATGATGCCGAGCAGCCCTGATATACCATTGCCCTTCACTTGCAGTCAGCACCCCCGCAGCCCTGCTGGTGCCCCTCATTCCTGATCAGCAGTCCCCCTTTCCTTTCCAGTGCACCCCACTGTCTCCCTTCCCCATACTGGTGCCCCTCACTCATAACCCACTGCCCCCAGACTCCAGCACCCCCAGTGTGCAGGGAAGGGGGACTATGTGGGGTAGGAGTGGAGGTGCTGGACCATAGGCCATAGACAATGGTCTGGTCCATTACTCCTTGCGTTGCTGGTGGTGCGATGTTAGTCTACAGTGACATGGCTGGCAGCGGTGGCAGCCGCAGTGAATTTTTTTACTACTCAATCCTCACACGCTGGGTCCTGCCTGGCCAGACTGCAGCCTTGTTCCCCCTCTGTGGGCACACAAATCTGGAAGGGGCACATGCCCCCTGATGCGTTGCCTATGGTGCTTGACACCTCCCCAGAAGTGCGTGCAGCAGTGGGGAGCCTCCCCTCGTCCCTCAGGAAAGCCACCTATGACTCCATCCTGCTCCCTGGCTGGGCCCTGCAGCTGGGCATT